TTCTTTCTTTCTTTCTTTCTTTCTTTCTTTCTTTCTTTCTTTCTTTCGAGAGAAAGAGAGGAGAATATGCTTGCTTGACTGTATGGGCACCATCTGCACACAAGTGTGCACTAAGGCCAGAAGAAGGCATTGGACACCCTGAAGCTGAAGCTGTAGACAGTTGTGAGCTTCCTGATGTGGGGGCTAGGGATGAACCTGTGATCCTTTGCAAAGGCAACCCTTGCTTTTGTTTTTTGGAGACAGAGTTTCTCTGTGTAACAAGAGTCCTGGCTGTCTTGGACTCACTTTGTAGACTAGGCTGGCCTTGAACCCACAGAGATCCACTTGCCGCTGCCTTCTAAGGACTGGGATTAAAGGGCACCACCATGCCTGGCTCAGCCCCTGTTCTTAACCTACCTACTGCATTCCTCCCTCCCTTTCTTTTTTTTAGGCTGGGTGTCTGTGTGGAGCGGACTGGTTTTGAGCTCACAAAGATCTGCCTGCTTCTGCCTCCCAAGTGCTGGGATTAAAGGCGTGTGCCCACCAGGACAAGCCTTTTTTCTTTTGTTGAGAAAGGGTTCACTATATAACGCACCCTCAAACTGGATCCTGCTCTCATAGCTTCCCGAGTACTGGAAATATAGGTTTGCATCATCACACCCAGCAAAATGTCTTTCTTTGCTTCTGTTTCCTTGTGTGTGTGTGTCTGTTTGTGTATGGATGTCAGAGGTCAACTTTCAGGCATTGATTCTCTTCTTCCACCATATGGTACCTGGGGATTGAACTCAGGTTGTCAAGTTTAGCAGCAAACTTCTTTACCTGCTAAGCCATCTTACCTCGTTTTTATAGTTATCTTCTACAGGGAAGGAACGCAAGAAGGATCCATACACTGAAGAATCCTACCAAGCCTTAATTTGTATAGTGCTTTGCAAAGGGAATCTGCATAGGCCCTGTTATTCTCCTAACATTATATTATACTTTCTAGATTAGGAAGAAACTGGGACTCACAGGGGAAAGGACATATAACATGAGCACAGGAGGGTCTTGAGACAAGGCCCCAGCCTGAGCTCTCCCACCTGAGAACATGGCAGGCTCGTGCTTTACTCTGCAGTTCTGGTGGGAGGATGCCTAGCACACACCCCAGCTATACTCTACAGGGTCCCACTACACGACAGTACTGATGCGCCTCAGCCCAAGAGACCTTCCCTCCTTTCATCCCTAGGGGGTGAAGGCAGAGGCCAAGCAACCTGGTTCAGAGGCACACAACCCCAAGGAACTCTTCTAGATCAGACAGACAATCATCCCATCTTACTGAAGGCAGACCGATGTGGGCCACCGCAGAAAGCCAAAAGTTGATGTTGTCTGTGTGCCGGAAATGCAAGCCGGTCGCCTGAAAGGGAGGAAAGAGACACTGTCTGCAGTTCTCAGAAGCCCCTATAGGTGAACTCCCAGGGAAAGAAGGGTAGGAGGAGCCAAAGGACCTACCCTGTGACCCCCTCCCCATGGAACAGAAAAACTGCTGAAGCCACCATGGATAGGTGGATGACCCCGCTGGACAATGAAAAGGAAGGCACAGGGGAGGGCAGCACAGTAAGACTACAAGCTGGCATAGGACAAAAGGCTTGGGCTAGCTAGCACACAAAGAAGAGACACATGCCCAGGAAGCCCTTCAGGGTGGCAAAGCCCATAAGCCTTGGAGTGTGCACTGTGAAGAGAAAAACTTCCAGGCCATCTTAGGCCCATGCAGTGACGCCCCTTTCTGTTAGAAGTACCCACCTGGCAGGGATACTAATAAATGCATTCTGTCTCAGTACAAATTATTTGTACCCTTTTTCATACTCAAAAGTGATCACTTTTGGCCAGGAGTGGTGACACATGCCTGTAATTCCAGCACTCTGGGTGGTAGAGGCAGGTGAGTCCAGAACAGTCAAGGCTACACAGAGAAACCCTGTCTCAAAAAGATGACAAATATAAAAAAAAGTGATCACATATGGACTTTTTTTTTTTTTTTTGTGAAAGGTTTTTCTCTGAGTAGCCTTGGCTGTCCTGGTCACTCTGTAGACCAGGCTGGCCTTAAACTCAAGAGATCTACTTGCCTCTGCCTCCTGATTGGATTAAAGGTGTCACCACCAGAGTCTGGCTCATACAGACTCTTAAGTTACAACGTTACCACACCCTCATTGCTGTGAGAAGGGGCATTTTGGGAGGGAGAGGTTAAGGGGGATTAATTACACTGTGCCCACCTGGTACCGCAGCTGTTCCACATCGTAGATCTTCTTCAGGGGGACTACAGAGGGTGCAAAACAGTGGCCCAGCTTGGCCAGTAGCACTCCATTCCGGAGGCTCTCCTCCAGCTCTACCGGGGAAGGAAGCTCCTCCTTCAAGCACACCTCCATCCAGCTGTGAACAGGAGAGTCTTCTTACCCACTGGCAGGCCACAGAGGTCCTGTACCTATAGGACCCACCCATCCCTCAAGAGACTTGACACATCATTCCTTCCCTACCCAAATTTCCCCTCTCTTCCTATTCCATCACTGTTCCCCACTTTCCACAACCTGCCACAGAGACCTAAGCAAGCCAACCCTTTGCCTCATTCACCCTGGAAAGTGTCCCTGAGTGGCTCCCATACTTGCCTGTCTTCAAGGAGGCAGAGTCAGACTCTTACCCTGTTGTGTGAGGTCTGGTTATATACCTGACTCAAACCAAATGGAGCCTGCCACTTCTCTCATTCTGTATGGTTCTGAAACCTTAGGTACAGAAAGCTCATGTCTGACAGAATGATTCCTACAGTTCACAAATGACTCAGTTCTGAGGATAATGAGGGTTTTAGGGGCCCTGTGGGTTGATGGAAGAGGAACAAGACAAGGGACAGAATCATAGGCTCACTTTCCAACCCATCCTCCTCACTTTACCCCTGACTCAACTGGATTCTGCAAAAACAAGGCTAACATCACTAGTAGTCCTGGCTTCAGTGGGAAGCTGCCATGATGGTGAGCTGGTGATTCTGACCATGCTTGAATGTAAATGCATTTAACTGCTGTTGGCTATACAAGGCAAGCACCATGGCTCCTCAGGTAGAATCTCTAGATGCTGAGGTCTATATATAGTATGTTTCCAAAGACAGCCAGCATACCTTGCTTCATGCTGTTCCCGCTAGACACCCATTTCCTGTCTGCTACCTTCTTTTGGTAAAACATTAAAATAGACTACTGAATAAAAAGAAGAGAGGGGGCTGGAGAGATGCTCAGAGTTAAGAGTACTGACTGCTCTTCCAGAGGACCTGGTTTCTTCCAGCACCCATATATGGCAGCTCACAACTGTTTGTATCTCCAGTTCCAGGGGATCTGATGCCCTCTGCTGGCCTCCAGTGGCACCAGATATGCACATGACGCACAGACATATGTAGGCAAAATACCCATATACATTAAGTTGAATTAAATAAATTTAAAGAAAAGAAAAAGGGACTAGGGAAATGGCTCAACAGCTTGGAGACCTGAGCTCAAATGCCCTGGACCAACATGAAACCCCAAGTCATGGCCACAAGCATCTGTAATCTGACCAGCCTGCCGGGTTCAGTGAGAGACCTTCTCTAAAGGAAACCAAATGTCTTCTACTGAACCCAAAGCTAATCAAGACTTTAGTATTTTTTGTTTGTTTGTTTTGTTATTTTTTGTTTTTCAAGACGGGGTTTTTCCAGGTTAGCCCTGGCTGTCCTGGAACTTCCTCTATAGACCAGACTGGCCTTGAACTCAGAGATCCACCTGCCTCTGTCTCCCAAGGGCCGGGATTAAAACTGAGAACCACTCCTGCCTGACTACTAATCAAGCTTTTAAGAGCCAACATCTATTTTTAGGAAATGGAGAGCTTGGAGGCACAAGTTGAAATGGCAGGAAAAGTGATCCAAATTCCTAAAAAGGTCAGGAATACACACACACACATACACACACACACAAAGAAACAAAGCCAGAAAGGAAGGAAGGGGGTGGGCAGGTGCTCCTGGCTGAAGGCCTCAGAGGCAAGTGTCACATGCAAGCTTTCAGAGTCTTCAGGTATTGACACAGAGTCTTTCTAAATAGTCCTGGCTGTCCTAGAAGTTGCTCTATAGACCAGAGTGGCCTCGAGCTCCACCTGCCTCTGTCTCCCATTTAAGGGCCTACACTACCACCACCTGGCTAGATTTTTTTCTCTTTTTCTTTCTTTCTTTTTTTTCATTTTTCTTCTTAATTAAAAAGATTTAGTTCTTTTTTTAAAAAATGTTAAATTAAATTTTTTTTTAAAATTTCCATTGTACATATTCATTGTACATGGTACTCTGTTACATAAAAGCAGATTTTTCTTTTTATCCAAGGAGTGACACTGGAAAATGGCCTAATTCCTAATTTCCCAAGGAGTCACAGATAATTTAGTTAGGTGTTATGACAGTGTGGTAGGTAAACAGGTACTCAAAGACTGTAGAATTATATATTGAAGGGCGTAAAGAAAAAGGATCTATAATGGTTGGGATTTACCCTAGAAAACAGAGTATGCTAGTTTTCTTTTCTGTCTTTTATTTTCATTTTTTTTGAGATGGGATTTCTCTGTATAGCCTTGGCTGTTCTGGAACTAGCTCTGTAGATTAGGCTGGCTTCTAACTCATAGAGATCTGCCTGCCTCTGCCTCCTGAGTGCTGGGATTAAAGGACTGTGCCACTACTAGTGGCCTTTTTTGTCTTTTTTTTTTTCTTCCAGTTTTAACAGATACGGTTTCTTTGTGTAGCTTTGGTTGTCCTGACTTGCTTTGTAAACCAGATTGGCCTTGAACTCACAGAGACCAACTTGCCTCTACCTCCCTGAGTGCTGGGATTAAAGGCATGCACCACCACGCCTGGCTTTTTCTTTTTTTTTGAAACAGGCTTTACATGAACTCCAGGCTGGCCTCAGACTTGCTATGTAGTACAGGCTGACTTTGAACTCTGTATGTATATTTCTGTACGTGTGTGTGTACACATGCATGCAGAGGGCAGAGGTTGATGCAAAGTATCTTTCTTGATCACTTCCCATGCTAGGTTTTTTTTTTTTTTTTTTAGGATTTATTTATTTATTATGTATACTGAGTTCTGCCTACATGTATACCTGCATGACAGAAGAGGGCACCAGATCTCACTATGGATGGTTGTGAGCTACCATGTGGCTGCTGGGAATTGAACTCAGGACCTTCGGAAGAGCAGTCAGTGCTCTTAACCTCTGAGCCATCTCTCCAGCCCCCATGCTAGTTTTTGGGGCATTAAACCTAGAGTCCACTGATTGGCTAAGCTGGCCAGCTAATACACTGTCTAGCTCCGCCTGCTGCCTGTCTCCCAGCACTGGGTTACAGGCACATGCTGCTCTACCTGGTGTTTATGTGCGCTGTGGATCTGAACTCAGGGCTTCATGCTTGTGTGGCAGGCACTTTACCAGCCAACCCACCTCCCTTGCTGTTGACCTTGAATTTTTTTTTTTTTTTTTTTTTTGAGACAGTGCTTCTCTGTGTAACAGCACTCTGTAGACCAGGCTTGCCTGAACCTCAAAGCTTGCCTCCACACCCAGCTTTCACCTTGAACTTTTTATCCTCTTACCTCTAAGCACTGAGATTACAGGGTGTGGACCACCATGCCTGGCTTGACAGAACTATTTTAACTTGCCCTTCCACACTGCATAGCCCATTGCCTGTTTGCATCTGCTTTGGGGACAGGTGTGTAGAAAAGGGAGGGAGTAAAATTGGGGACAGGTGTGTAGAAAAGAGAGGGAGTAAAACTGGACCATAAGGACCCTGCTTACCGCTTGGCTTCCTCCAGCCGGCACAGGTACTGATAGGCCACATTCTGTCGCCTCTGCTCATCCATCTCCTCAGCAGTGAGGCGTTCATCTGAAGTGTGGGGGGGAGACAGTGAAGGGATGCAGCGTTAGGAGGGACCCTGGCTTCGGGGAACCAACGCCCTCTTCGGCTTCTGTGGGCACCCGTGCACACAAGGTGTACACACACAGAAATGCACATAAATAAAAATAAAATAAATCTTAAAAAAACAGGGACCTCAGTTCTGCAGCTGCTTTTGAATGCATCCCTCGGTATCTTCTCCAGAACACAGAAGCATGCTGTGTCCCCGCTTTTTTTCCCAGTGTACCCATTATCAAGGAGCATCCCTCTTTGCCAGAGACATTTCCTTCTCTCTTCTGCGCTGTCTCCCTGTCTTTCTCTTCCTCACATCTGCCTCATGACCCTCCTTCAGTGGCAGCAGAAGGGCTAGCCAGAGCCTTCCTTGTCCGGGCATGTAGCTCCCCACTGCCCCCTCACTGAGCAGTAACTTCTCAGGGATGCGCTGTCACAGGGCGCCGGTAGAAGCATGACTGACCCAGTCATTCATTCATTCATGCCTTTCTGTCGGGCTCTGGGCTAGTGAACCTCTGCCCTTGCAATATAAGCCTGGCGTGGTGGCAAAAATCTTTCATCCCAGCACTGGGGAGACAGAGGCAGATGGATCTCTGTGAGTTTGATTCGCGCCTGGGCTACAGAGTGAGTTCTGGGACAGCTAGGTTTACATAGTGAAACCTGGTTTTCAAAAAGAAAAGAACGAAAATACAAACATGGAGGTTGGAGAGATGGCTCAGCAGTTAAAACCACTGACTACTCTTCCAGAGTACTTGGGTTCGATTTTCAACACCTATGTGGTGTCTCTAGAACTGCCTGTTACTCCAGTCCCATGGATCTGATGCTTTCTTTTGGCTTCCACAGGCATGCATGCAATACGTGACATACACCGGCAAAAACATCACACATGTGGAGAGAGGGCTCTGAGGTTAAGAGCACTGGCTGTTCTTCCAAAGGTCCTGAGTTCGATTCCCAGCAACCGCATGGTGGCTCATAACCATGTATAGTGAGAGCTGGTGCCCTCTTCTGGCATGCAGGCAAAACACGATATAACTAAAAAAGCTGAGAGAGAGAGAGAGAGAGAGAGAGAGAGAGAAAACAAAACACAGAGACTATTATTTGTTGGGGGCTGGCCTTGTACACCATGTGTTCAGATGCTGATTTCTGTGCCCAGAGATCAGGTTGCAGTTGGGACATTGGCGATGTCATTATTGAAGAATCTCCTGTATCACTGTTGTGATAAACAGTGCTCCCCAATTATCGCTGATTGGTTAATAAAAAGCTGAACAGCCAATAGCTGGGCAGAGGAGAGAGGAAAACTGGATTTCCTATCCTAGGGGTGGAGAGAAGGAAAAAAGAGGGAGAGAGAGAGAGAGAGAAAGTACCATGAAGACAGAGCTATAGAGAAGCAGCCGAGGCCAGACTGAGGTGGCAAGTAACAGGCACATGGCTGGGAAGTAGGCAGACTAGCATCTGAGTCAGATAGATGAATATCTGCCCAGTTACAGAGCTTAAAACTTGTTGAATAAGGCGGAGGCAGGCAGATCTCTGTCTTGTCTGGTCTTGTAGACCAGGACAGCCTAGTCTACAAAGTGAGCCCAGGACAGCTAAGGCTACACAGAGAAACCCTGTTTCGAAAAATCAATAACCAAAACAGAAAAACTTGCTGAATAAATCTAATAGGTCTCTGTGTCAACTGTTTGGGTTCTAGGGTGGGTATTAGAAAAGGCCCCTACTAATGTCATAATTCAACAATTATTAGGAGAGAAAAACATGTAAGTGAACAACTCCAACCCAAGTGAGGGATGCAATTACAGGTCATGAATAAGACCTCAGTATGGCAGAGGAAGAAAACTGTTCTGTCTGAGCTGCACAGATAATGAGCAGGTTGAAGCAGGGACAGGCGGTCCAATGGAACAATCCACACTACACACTTGAGATTAAACGAAAGGACAAAGAAATTTTTAAAAGGCCACACAGGTACCATTATCATTCTTTTTTCTCACCTGAGAAAAGTAATCCTCAAGTTAAACAAAATGTAGATAACAACTCTGACCTCCAAACTCATGAAGAGGAAATGCCTTAAATGAGATAGCAATCCTAGTCTGCTTTAGCCAGTCTTTATACCTGTCCATCTCTCTGTTTTTCATGGGGAACACAACATAAAATTCAACACAGGGTGAGGGAAAACTGTGTACACACAACAAACAAATGAGCTCAGAGAAGATGCAAGAGACAGCTTGGTCAATATGCCCTTGACCAGGCACTACAGTAATTTTTACTCTTTATTCTATTTCCTCATTTTGTATATCCTGAAGTATGACTTCAGGAAGGGCTGGGCTTATTTGAGTTGGCAGTTAATAAAGTTCAAACTCACTCACTTCCAAATACAGATTTGGAGTGCTGGCCAACCGCAGAAAAAGCCACGGGTTCCTCTGAGGAAGTTTACAAAGAACAAGAGCTGGTTATTCAAGAGTGGAAAATAAACCAGTAAGTGAGTGACATCACTTCAGAGTTATGAGCTCAGTGAGATGGAATGGGCGGGGCCTTGAGCAAGCACACGCGCTGGCGCACCCACCCCCAGTGTCTCAAATACAAACCAAAAACAACCACAAAACGGTTCTCCCGAAACAAGCGTTCCTTCTTGAGGTGGGTGGACACAGATTTTGCTCTTTGTGTTTAGTGGAGAGGGGATAAAGAGAGAAAGCAGGTTTTGTTTTTCACTCAGCCGATCAGGTGGAATCCTTTCAGCCCTTCCCACGAAATCGAGTTTCACTCCAAGAAAGCTGTGTTTTAGGAAGCCTGGGCTGTCCTTTATGTACTCTGCAGCTAAGAACGAACGTGAATTCTTGACTTCCGGCCTCCACCTTCCCACGGCTGGAATTACCGGAGCGCGGCAGCAAGTCCGGCTCCCAGGTTTTGCTTTTTAAACAAGTGACCAGGTGATTAGGCAGTAAGTAGTTTGGGAGGCACTGTCTCAACGCGGAGTCCCGTCCTTTGGCACCCTTTGGCAAGTATGGTGAGGGCCGAATTTTAAGGGGCCATCTAGATCATCTACATTCCCCGACCCTGGGGCCCCAGAACCTGGGAATGCGGGAGAGAGCCCTTTGAAGGCTTGCCGCTCGGTTCCCCTGCGCACACTTCAGTGCACTCCCCACAGAGCCGTGCTCCCGCGAGGGCCAGACCCCAACAGCAGCCCCCTGCTCCTCCCTCAGATCCTTCCCGCACTCACAGGCTGTCCGAGCCCGGCCTGCTTCACACCGCTCCATGTTCCTTCTGCCAGTTTTGAATCTCCCGCCGCTGGGACACCGCCCCTCACTGCGGCCACACCGGGATGGGACGCTTCCGGTCGTGCCGTAGAGAATCCTGGGTTTTGTAGTTCCTCTTACAGGTGGGGCTGTAGCTTTGGGCAATTCCTTTATTTGCTCTTTCTCCAAGCACCCCACTGCTCAGCTGGCTTTTTCAAATAGTCCCTGCTGCTGCCTTTCCTTTCATTAACCCATCCCACTTCCTCTAGAATTCCCGGGACTCCCTGTGTGCTATTTGGTGTTATACACTGAACTAGGTGACAAATAGATTCTAGACTAGAGCTGTTACAGCAACAAGAGAAAAAAGCTTGGGAGTCAGTGCTGCATAGAGGGCGAGGTCCACTGCAGTGGGGTGAAGAGACCGTCCTAGGGTAGGCCTCGGCTGATCTTGACACAGGAGAGAAAAACAGATCTAACTAAAAGAACATGGGACGGGAATAGGGGCTCCATCACCTTGGAGTCCGATTGAAATTTCTTGCCAGCTAAGAGGTAGTAAGACTTTCTACTTGGGGCTGGAGAGATTGCTTAGCAGTTAAGACCACTGACTGCTCTTCTAGAGAACCCAGGTTCAACTCCCAGCACCCCATAACAGCTCACAACTGTCTGTAACTCCAGTTCCAGGGGATCTGACACCCTCACACAGACATACAGGCAGGCAAAATACCAATGCATATAAAAGAAGAATAAATAATTTTTAAAAACTTCTCTGGAAGCACACCCCTTTAATCTCAGGGGAGGCAGAGGCAGGCGGATCTCTGAGGACAGCCAGGGCTACACAGAGAAACCCTGTCTCAAAAAATCAAACATAGATCCCCTTTCCCCTAGAGCAGAAGAGGCCAACATGGTTCACTTGGGAACCGACTGCAGGAAACAGGAGCCATGTGCACTGGTTTCCCTGTTTCTGGGCTGCTGAGGGCTCTCCTGTCGTCGTTGTCCCCCTCCCCCTGTTTTCTTCTAAATCTGGTAGCCTCATTTAATTGGGACACATGGGTGATCGAGGTGCAGAAGAACACAGTACAGCTGTGATGGGTAATCTTGAATGTTTCATGGTTGACAAACATCATTTGAGATAGGGCTTGGGCACTTATGTCAGTGTGCCTGTATATCTTGGTTGCCACCTCAACCGGGTTGAACTGAACCAGGTTCAGATTCCTCTGGGCTGCATTTTCCAAACTTCTTTCTGGTGCAAGCCCCAGACAAATTCTTCCTTGGCCTTTTGTATCCTTTTCCTGTGTTCTTTTTTCCAATCTGAGCCTGGGCCAGATCTCAGTTGAGGGAATCCTAAATCCATGCCAATACGGCAGTGCCCTCATGGCAGCATTCTCTAGGGTTACCAGAGTGGATAATTTTTCTCTGATGATGTAAAGAAGATGGGGAAAGCAAGATCTCAGCAGTCAGCAGGGCATTACTGGGATGAAACACAAAACAGACTCCCCCAGAAGGGGCAGACTCAAAATGGTGTAGAGGTTTTTTTGTTGGTTTGGTTTTTTGGTGCGTGAGAACGGAGTATCTGCATACAAATGTAGCTGCTCTTGGGGGCTCTTTCTGGTTCAAGGCTTTTGATGACTGCCTCTATTTCCTTGGGAGTTATAGGTTTGTGTAAATTGTTAACCTGATCTGATTTAACATTGGTAAGTGGTATCTATCAAGAAAATCATCCGTTTCATTTAGATTTTCCAATTTTGCAGTGTACAGGCTTTTTTGATTCTTTTTCTTGGTGTCTGTTATAGCCCCCTTTTTATTTCTGATTTTATTAATTTGGATAATCTCCCTTTGTCTTTTAGTTAGTTTGGCTAAGAGTTTGTCTGTCTTTTTGATTTTCTTGATTTGGTATTGTTGACTCTCTGTATTGTTCTCTTTGTTTCTAGGTTATTGATTTCAACCCTGAGTTTGATTATTTCCTGCCATCGACTCCTCTTCGGTGTGTTTGCTTCCTTTTTTCTAGAGCTTTTAAGTGAGCTGTTAAATTGCTAATATGAGCTCTCCCCACTTTATTTATGAAGGCATTTAGCTTTATGAATTTTCCTCTTAGCACTGCTTTCATTGTGTCCCACTGTGCCTTTTATTTTGAACTCTAGAAAGTCCTTGTTTATTTCCTCCCTAACCCAGTGGTCATTAAGGAGAGTTGTTCAGTTTCCATGAGTTTGTAAGCATTTTATTGCTTCTGTTGTTGTTGAAGTCTAGCTTTAATCCATAGTGGTCTGACAGAATAAAAGGTGATATTTCAATTTTCTTGTATTTGTTAAGGCTTACTATGTGTCCAAGAACGTGGTCAATTTTGGAGAAGGTTCCAATGAGGTGCTGAGAAGAAGATATATTCTTTTTTGTTTGGATGAAATGTTCTGTAGATATCTGTTAGGTCCTATTCGTTCATGTCAGTTAGTTTCATTATTTTCTGTTTAGTTTCCATCTCAATGATCTGTCCATTGGTGAAAGAGGTGTGTTGATGTCTCCTTTTATTAATGAGTGTGGTTCAATGTGTGATTTAAGCTTTAGGTTTTTGTTTGTTTGTTTTTACAAATGTGGGTGCCCTTATGTTTGGGGCATATATGTTCACAATTGAGACAACATTTTGGTCGATTTTTCCTTTGATGAGTGCTCTTCCCCATCTCTTTAGATTAATTTTGGTTGAAAGTCTATTAGATATGAGAATAGCTACTCCAGCTTGTTGTGTCCTTTTGCTTGGAAAACCTTTTTCCAGCCCTTTATTCTGAGGTAATGCCTATCATTACTGAGGTGTGTTTCTTGTATGCAACAGAATGATGGGTCCTATTTACACATCCATTCTGTTAGTCTGTGTCTTTTATTGGGGAGTTGAGACCATTGGTGTTGAGTGATATCAATGACCAGTGTTACTTCCGTTATTTTGATGTTGGTGGTGGAAGAGTGTGTGTGTGTGTGTGTATGTTTCCTTTCTTTTGGTTTTGCAGCTGTGGGATTATTTATTTCCTGTTTTCCTGGGTGTAGTGAGCCTTCTTGGGTTGGAGTTTTCCTTCTAGTATCTTCAGTAGGGCTGGGTTTGTGGCTAGGTACTGTTTAAAGTTGGTTTTGTCATGGAATATCTTTTCTCCATCTATGATGATTGAAAGTTTTGCTGGATATAGTAGCCTGGGTTGACATCTGTGCTCTGTTAGTGTCTGCATGACACCTAACCAGACCCTTCTGGCTTTCATAGTCTCTGCTGAGAAGTCAGGTCTAAATCTGATAGATTTGCCTTTACATGTGACTTGGCCTTTCTATCTTGTGGCTTTCAATATTCTTTCTTTGCTCTGCATATTTAGTGTTTTGATTATTATGTGACAAAAGGATTTTCTTTTCTGTTCCAATCTATTTGATGTTCTGTAGGCTTCTTGTATGTTTATAGACATTTCTTTCATTAGTTGGGGAAGTTTTCTTCTATGACTTTATTGAAAATATCTTCTGGGCCTTGAAGTTTGGAGTCTTCTTCTATTTCTATTATTCTTAGGTTTGGTCTTTTCATATTGGCCCATATTTCTTTGATGTTTTGTATCAGGAACTTTTAAACATTTTCCTTGACTAAAGTAATGATTTCTGCAGTCATATCTTGTACACCTGAGATTCTCTCTTCCATCTCTTGTATTCTGTTATTGATGCTTGTGTCTGAAGTTCCTGTTCTTTTCACTAGGTTATCCATCTCCAGGATTGCCTTAGAATTAGTTTTCTTTATTGCTTCTAATTCCATTTTTAGGTCCTGGGCAGTTTTATTCATTTCCTTCTCTTATTGAATTTTCTTGTATTTCTTTAAGGGATTTACTCAGTTCCTTTACCTGTTTGGTTGTATTTTTCTGAAGTTGTTTAAGGTATTTATTTTCTTCTTTTAAGGCCTCTATCATTTTCATAACTTCAGATTTAAGATCATTTTCTTGTGCTTTCAGTGTAATAGTAGTCTCAGAACTTGCTGTGGTAAGATAGGTGGCTTTTGGTGGTGTCATATAGATCTAGATTTTGTTTCTGGTGTTCTTGCACTGACATCTAGCCATTTGGTTGACTCTGTTATTAGCAGGCCTGGTGGTCTCTGATGGCAATAGGTCTCTGGGGTGAGATCTCATGGTCTCAGAGGCCCACAGTTCTTTGGTTTTCCTGCTGTTCCCTGATCTGTGTTGGTCTTGTGGGATACAGATCAGCCTGGATCCCAGGGAATGACATGATTTTTAAAAATACCATATCTAGTCACTTTGCTGAAGGAGTACATCAACTGCAGAAGTTCTCTGGTAGAAGTTTTGGGGTCTTTTATGTATATCATCTGTGAATAGTGATATTTTAACTTCTTCCTTTCAAATTTGTATCCCTTTGATCTCCTTTAGTTGTCTTATTGCTCTATCTAGAACTTCTAGTACTATCTTGAAGACCTATGGAGAGAGTGGGCAACCTTGTCTTGTTCCTGAATTTAGTGGGATTGCTTTGAGTTTCTCTCCATTTAGTTTGATGTTGGCTATTGGCTTGCTGTATATAGCCTTTATTATGTTTAGGTTTGGGCCTTGTATACCTGCTTTCTCCAAGACTTTTATCATGAAGAGCTGTTGAATTTTTCAAAGGTTTTTTCTGAATCTAATGAGATGATAATGTGATTTATTTTTCAGTTTGTTCTTATGGTGGATTACATTGATGGATTTTTATATGTTGAACCATCTTTGCAGTGCTGGGATGAAGCCTACTTGATCATGGTGGATAATGTGTTTGATGTGTTCTTGAATTCTGTTTGCAAGTATCTTATTGGGCATTTTAGCATCAATGTTCATAAGTGAGATTGTTCTGAATTTTTCTTTGCCGAGTCTTTGTGTGGTTTAGGTATCAGGGTGACTGTGGCTTCATAGAATGAGTTTGCTGGTGTTCCTTCTGTTTTTTTTTTTTTTTTTAATTTTATTTTGTGGAAGAATTCAAGGAGTATTGGTTTTAGCATTTCTTTGAAAGTCTGGTAGAATTTCATGCTAAAACCATCTGG